TGGAGGCACGACGGTCTGATGAAGCAAAATCGATAACGATGGGTATGCGATGAAGATCCATGTCGGACATGTGCAAAGTTTCGAGATCCTTTCCATATTCCATTGAATATTGGTTCAGTTCTTTATAATGATATATTAAGGCAATTAGGAACTCGACATTGAATTAAGAAATCGATCGAAAAAAGCTTCGCTCAGATAGAGCGAGGTGGGCGATGTACCGTATGACTATGAGATGTTGATCAATCTGAAAATAGAGGTCATGGAGTGATAATATGACCGGGGTGGAAAGTTCGGCTACACAAGCAACAGATGAACTGTAAAGAAATGCGAATGCTTAGATGGATGTATGGTGTCGGCAAAAAGGACCGTATTGGGAAGACCTTCATTGGAAGCAGTGTAGGTGTAGCACCAATATCCGAGAGTATATTCAAGGTGATCGACAGCAAGCTCCGTTGGATCCGCCGCGTGAAAAAAAGATCCGAGGAGTACGTTGGAAAAGTAGTCCTATCATTGATACTATCATTTAAGAAAAGATATGAAAGGCCAAAGAAATTGTGGCGTGACGACGCCAAAACTGTATGAAACGAGAGCAATGACCGATGATTCGACCAAAATTCGAACAACGTGGAAACAGCAGAATCGAACGTTGGGGCTCTTTCCAGGAACATGCTAGGGAAATGAAAAAGTTGCTTATTTATTTTTATTGTTAGAAATAGCGCAGTATTTCCCTAAGCTTATTTTTCTAACATCCAATTAACAGTAGTTTCTACAACTCTTCTCTGAAGTGCTCGTTTAATGATTGTTACAGACCAGCAAGGGGTCTACAATAAAGTGAAATTATAACTGGTATTAAACATTACTTTTCAGGAGACAATAATGGTGTTCATTTTTCGAGCAGGCTATTTTTTGTGTTCTTTTACTGTAAAATTTTTCTGCACGTCAGAGAATGATTTCTCTTCGAAGTATTCTCTGTTTAGTCTATTAGCACATGACTAAAGGAAATTTTCCTTCTGTCTCACCAGTCTCATTAGCTCAGATTTCCCATTCACTTTCGACCCTGAAACCTTGCAACCTCGTTGTATGCTGATGAAGTTTATTGAAATCATAAGTACGTTGAGGCGCATGTCACATCTTTGCACGCATTTCAAAGTCATCTGGAAAACGCTTGATGGGACACATGTTCGCGGGCTGAACGAGCAACAGTCGTCTGCGTCGGCGGGCGATCGGCTTAGAGTGCAACCTCACTTTCTGTCAGCGGCGGAGGCGGCGGCGGCGAGGCACAAACGTCTAGCGGAGCCAACCTCCTCCGAGGCTTCTAAAAAACAATCTCCCACGTGATTATAGTGCAACAGAGGCGGCTGTAGCCGCAAGTCAGTGCTCTGACTTTGTCCGACAGTGAGCCTGGCAGAGGCCCGCCTTAGTTGAGCACCGATTGTCGGTAGCGTCAGCGCCAATGTCGGTGGTAGCGATATTCTTCTTTGCCTCAAAACCCGCTTTGAGTGTTCCACGCTGCTGGCGATCCAAAGCGCTCTTAAGCATCGCTGCTGGTCATAGCTGATGTCTTTCTTGGTCATATCCAGTTCCTGCCATTCGCACGTGTAACGACGCATCTTTAGGCATTATTCAGCTGATACGAGCTGCCCAAGTGGCCAATTGAAGGCAACGAAACAGGATGCCTTTCCGTAACATGTTCAGATTCTGGGGACACAAAAGTAAGTGTTTTTGTATGCTTGTGTGTTTCGCTTTCTGCTCTACGACCCTGCGCTCTTTCAGCCCACCCGAAAACGACATGGCACTGCAGCGAGTTGCATACTTCGAACGGCGAGCATAAGAACAGCCATGTAACCGGTTCCAACTCTCATGTGACCCTGATGACTTCGGCTTCGGACACGTCATCTTCGACGAAAAGAAACGTGACCACCTCTGCCGCCGTTGCTGGCACGGTCGCTGCTGAACGGTCCAACAGACAATCGCCAGGACTGTTTCATGAAAGTGGCGTCGTCGATGACCATGTGATCGTACCGAAGACCGAACAACCTCTTCGTTACTGCGACGACGACGACGACTTGGGCATCATGTCTGAGGTGGAGACGTCGTGCACATCCGGCAAGACCGCTCGTCGGAACGGTCGCCACAAAGCGCCGTCCTCGCCGGCGAACGCTGCCACCTCCAACGCCATCAGCACCAGCATGAGTGCTTCGAACATCCCCGAAGACTCGGACAAAAACGCAAGTAATTGCT